GTTGTTGTTGTTGTTGTTGTTGTTGTTGTTGTTGTTGTTGTTGTTGTAGTGGTAGTTGTTGTAGTTATCGTTGTGGTCGTTGTTTCTGTTGTTGTCGTTGACGTTGTGGTCGTTGTTTCTGTTGTTGTTGTTGACGTTGTGGTCGTTGTTTCTGTTGTTGTCGTTGACGTTGTGGTCGTTGTTTCTGTTGTTGCCGTTGACGTTGTGGTCGTTGACGTTGTGGTCGTTGTTTCTGTTGTTGTCGTTGACGTTGTGGTCGTTGTTTCTGTTGTTGTTGTGACTGATATGTTGGCCGATGTAATATTCGTTGTTGCAGATGTCGAGCTGGCAACTAATGTGGTACCTGTCGCTAGTGTAGTACCTATGCCTGACGTAGTACTAGCCGCTGATATATTACTCATCGCAGATGTAGTATTGACCACTACTGTATTACCCACGCCTGATGTGGTACTGATGGCTGATATAGTGCCTGTTGTTAATGTAGTACTTGTGTTTGACATAGTACCTGTAGAAATGACAGCAAAGATAGATATCAATATTTCATAGATTTCTACCTTTTCACATATAAAATAGGATTTCATAAGTCGCCTAAAATATCTGCTGCTAGTGCCCTGCGGTTCCTATAATTACCCGGGAACCGAATCGGAACCAACGGTTCCGGTTCGGCTCCGGTTCCCAAAATCGAAAAAAAGCGGTTCGAATTTCGGTTCCCAAAAAATTTGTTTTAGGAACCGGTGTTTTTACATTGATATAGAAAATATTGAGTAAGATATTTTTCAATTTCTGTTTTCCTTTTTTGAGATTATTCATGTTTATTATTTCATAAAATAGTTTGAAAAAATACAATGAAAGATGAAAGAATAAGGGTGTGGGTGTGGGTGTGAGTGTGAGTAGGTGTTGGTGTGGGTATCAGTGGCTGCAGAAATACATGTAGTCTCACTCACAGTCACAGCAACACCTCACCCTTAAGTTCTTATTGCTTACAATAATTTATTTTAGGGGTAGCAATTGCGAACTATTGTATTGTTGGCGCGCCGCCTATGGTTTTAAATATGAGCATGAGAAATGCACAAAATGCATCACTACACAGGCCATAACCTGTATCCACATATTATTATGTTGCATTTGAATAATTTCTTAGCTATCATTAAAAGAAGTTCGGTTCCAACGGTTCCAGTTCCGGTTCTATTCCCTTTTTTTCACGCTTCCGGTTCCGGTTCCCGGTAATAGAAATTGAAAAAACCGGTTCCCGGTTCGGTTCTTGGTTCCATTTTTTTTGGAACCGCAGGGCTCTATCTGCTGCAACAAGAAACAGTATTATGTTTGAGATTTAGATAGCCAGATAAAGACAATTTGAAATTCTTAAACTTGATGTACAATGCCAAACAACCCCAAAACTTCTCTGAAAAGCCTGAATTATGCACAAAGCATCCAAAAGGAAACATGTTATTTGTAAATATTTTCACAATATCATCAAACTATGATATATACTCAAAATGTAATCGTTTCGGTCGTTAAATTTAGTATTTATTAAACTGAGACGAAGTGAATTTTCTCCATTAGTAAGAGAACTGCCAAGCTATGTTGTAAGAAGTTTAAAAGTTTTGTTGACTACACTTTCCGTTCGATATTTTTGAGCTGAAAATAGATAATATTTTTCTAGCTAACAACATGTGCAGAGAACTGGCTATATATGTCAACTCCTGCTTAGGAATCATGGTCATAATACTCATCTATGTGGTGCTTTGAGGATACTGTGCCTATTGATCTGAGTATAGTATGATCATGCTTGGTGAAATTATAAAAGGCTGCATAAAGTCAGACCGATCGGTGAACAATAATTACTGTGAGCTTTATTATAAAGAACTTCTTTGCTTTTGTTATCATTGATAGATTCGTAAAAACTCAGTTTTACATAAATCGAACAAAGTTTAACTTGCATACTTAGATAGTATAATTCAAAGTGACTAGTTTTCGTTTTAGTCTTATTTTCCTGTTTCTCTTTCAAGGCAGGAAGTGTAAGTTCACATGCAACAGTCCTGTTTTTGATTGACAAGCATTTCAAAGAAACATCTTTACCCAAACTTTTACCTTCTCATCAATAACTAACCTTGTGACACAGTTGTTTCACTCGTAACAGTGTTTGATTGTTTGTTGTTACCATTTGTCAGAAGTATAACTGTGAGCATTGCAAGTATTGCTGCAAGCATGAGAAACAAGCAACAGCCACCCACAATTGCTAGAATAACTCCACATCGCCATGATATACATCTTCAGAAAATATATTTAAAAAAATGTTAAACATACTCTTTTTTAATGTTAGCAATGTCAAACGTACTTTTCTGGCGCTGTCACAGTTGGTATAAAATCTACATCTGATGATTTTGATTCAGTCAATCTTGGAGATTTTGCTCCATTTATTCGATACATTTTCTGTCTCAAAAAATTATATGTTCGAAGTGTCTGAGTTTTATATAAAATGAATCGAATAAAAGGGGAGAAATGAGATGAAATGAAAATTGCCGATATTTATATGGTATGAATTAAGTGATGAATTGAGTCATTGCTTTTAAGACAATATTTGACTACTTATGTTGTCGTTGAATAAACGACAAAGCTTAATTGCCTGTCTCTGAAAACACTTCGAGGAGAATACAAATTAAGTGTGTTGTGATTTTTTGTCGAAATATCAGGAGCGATTTGTTAAAATGGATGGTTTCCTTGTGAAAAGAAAAAAATCATTAAATCACATTGCTCTAGAGAGAAGCATAAAATAACAGTCGAAAACATGCTTTACTTTCTTTGAGACAACAAACGGCAAAATGTTTGTGTCAATGGTCAGCCTCCATAACAATTGTCTTCTTTGTCAAGGATGTATCGGATGCGTATATGTTGGGATGTAAGCCTTTTCTACGGTGACATCTCACAAACATAGCCATAGGCATCACATGGGCATGCACAAACACTCCAATCAAAACTCATATGTACACAAATTCTGAGCAGGGTACTCCTCCCTACCTTCATATACATACACCATGACCAACACACTCCGGTACATCGATTTTTACAAAGAACTGCACCTAGACCAACCCTCAGCAACAACAACACCTACATCTATTATCATTTGCAACCCGAACGCTACACCACGTCTGATTCAGATGCACAACAGCTACCAACAAGACCTACGCCCACAGTAGACCAACCCTGGTCAAGACACAGATCTACACTCATACCTATAGCAGCTCTCACCCATAAATACACCCAGAACAGCATCAGCTTTCACCCAGGTCGACGCCTAGACCAACCTTCACCTACGCTGAGATGGGCACACAGACAAACCCTCAACGATATGCAGGCTAACGCCTACACCAAGTCTCACCCACACGTGCGCCTATATCAGGGGCTACACCAATCGTCAACCACAATCAGACCCACAACTACATTTGGAACGATCCTCAATCAAACTCAGATTGAGATCAAATTGTACTCAAGCCCACATCCCAAGCCTCTCCTTATTCACGCTCAGACTCACACTCGTAACTAGACAGAACTTCAGCAACATCCAGATCCACACCTACACCAACCTTCACTGATAGTCGTTCATGAGCTAACTCTCAACCAATCCTACACCCATAAACACACTAATTCTCACCCAGGTCAATATCTACATTAGCGCACACCTTGGCCCACACCGACATCAATCCTCACTCAGAGTCACACCTGCAGCGCAAATTACAGAGATCCACGCCCGCATCAGCTTTCATCGATATCCAGACCCGAAGCAACTGTGACCCAAGGGTGCGAATGTGGTTGGGTGTAGGTATGGGTCTTCTATTCATCCAGGTCCACACAAGGATCGGTGTGAAATGGGGTTGGTGTGGGTGTGTGAGTCTCCTCTCGAGTCAGGTACTTACATCCACACACCGACACCCGCAACCATACTCCACATCTCACACATACATATACTATTTGATACAGCTCACAACTTCCATTTTTAATGCGCAGTTGTTAATTTTCTTTCATGGCTCTTTGTTTGGAAAAGTATTCGATTTGTTCGCAAAAGAGGATGTGAGTGTGGATCTTGAGGGTGTGGGTGTGGTTGTAGGCGTGAAGGCTAGAGTAGGGGGACGGGGTGTGGATCGCCTTCTCACTCCACTACACCAACCCCCACACCCAATAAGTTTCTGATGTTTCGTTTCAAACACGAAAAGTCCGTGTTTAAGAAAACCTCTCTATTTGAATAGCAGACGAACTTTTTGCTATAATTCGATTCTCAACCCAATGATGGCTATTCGCACATTTTTGCAATGTCTTTAATCTTTGATCATATATGTCATGAGTTTTCTGCTGAAAAACAGCTTTAAAAATAATTAAGATACAATTGAATTCCTGCTGATATATCAGAACCGCCTCTAAATATCTAGCAACTGGTGTTATATGTCGTACCGACAATAGTGGTAAATGATTGTTCGAGAAATTGTAAATTGGTAGTGTCCGAACATGCGTTGTTGTAGCACCAACCGTTGCCGCTTATACTCTAAGAAAAAAACGTTTTCTCAGAAACCGAAACCCCTTCGAAAATCCTTTCGGAAACCCATGAACGTATCCGGAAAGGTTTCCGAACTCATGTTAAGTTTCTGAAAATACCTTCAAGGTTTCCAAGCATCTAGAAACCTATGGGTTTTTGAAAGATAGGTCCGGAAACCCTCAACCGTAGCCTCAGAAACCCTGGTGCTATTTTCGAAAACCGAAAGTTTTCCGTGGAAACCGCTTTTGATTTAAAAACCTGCTCGAAAACCTTTGCGTTTCCGATATTTTTTTATCGAAAACCTTTTTCGGTTTCTCAGCACCGAAAACGGTTGAAGCGTTTCCGAGAAATCGAGAATGATTTCCGAACATATATGGGAAGCCCTTCAGGATTTTCGAATCTTCAGAAAAACCTTGCGTTTCAGAAAAAAAGCTCCGGAAACCCATCCAGTATTCTCAAGCACCGAAATAGCATTCGGTCATCTTCTTTTTGATTCTCATGTTCCCGTCATTATTTTAGAGGTTTAGGAATTGCTCAACATGCATGATATAAACCTTATTCAATTTATGTGCAATTGTTGTGTAAAACCATTAGAACTCTGAGAATTCAAAAAAAGTACATTGTTCCTGGGAGAATTTCAACTCGTTTTTACATCTTTCACTACCTAAAAACTTGAATGGATTATGATAAATTTTACTGTGAGGATCGCAGAGCTGCATTAAATCGCCAAGTCATTCAAAGAATGCCGTCTTTCTTCTTCTTCATTCATTTGTGTTTCATCCAAGTACAAGCATTATCATCCTTGCCAACAGATGGCAACGGAATATAGTGCAAGTTTCAGCCGTTTGAAGATGTTTTCAACCGATCTATACAGAAGATTGATAGGAGAGGAACGATGCAAAACATGAAGAAATCTGCATTTGCAAGAGAATGTAAAACAAATACCGGGTGTTTCGGAACGTTTGCAACATAATTTATTCTCCATGTATCTCCACAAACGTAAATGATAAAATCTTAATTTTTTTCAAAATTTGCGCCCTGATATTCTGTACGATAGTCAAAATAAAAGATCCCATTCGCTTGTGCTAATAGATTTGGAGTAAGCTAAAAGAAAAGATGTATCAAATGTTGTACTTTCTCACTTTGATATCGATTTAAGCGCTGTAAAAAGAACACATTTACTATCTAAATCAAATCATATGTACAAAAACTCATTTCTGAATATCACCATCTCGATAAAGTGAGCATCTTGAGTTCGAAAATAGTTGAAAAGAATGAAAGGTCTGCGAAATGCGATTGTTGTTCAGCTAAAGAAAAAAACAACTTCTGGACAGTGAAACACTATAGACTCTCATACACCTATGCTTTTAGCTCTCTCCAAGTCTATTAGCCCAAGTCACAAGAATTTCTGCGTTCATTTATTGTACAGAATGGCATGACGTATCGTTTCAAAAATAAGTTCACGTTTTTATGAATCGTCTGTTTGAAGGCGTAAACAAAGTCAAATATCTTGGAAGCTTTCTGAGAAAAACGGTAGATATATATTTCATCACACCGCAAGATATACTCTTCCCGAACTGATCCGGTAAAAGATCCGAGGAAAAAGCGAACACGAAAACTACAGTTACTGGTAACAAAACTAAAGACACCAAGACTTTAAATGACATTAACATTCTGCCTTCGACAGCAATACGGAAACCAGAAGTCAGACTGCCTTAAAGACTTTCACTTCAATACAAAAAAGCTTTCATCACTATAGGACTCCATTTGACTTCATGCCTGTGAGTTCGACAGGATTTAAGACCGCATGACTTTCACTAACTTCATGGCAATGGCTTTGAGAGACATGAAGACTTGAAAACTTTAACTGACTTCATGACGGTCGGTTTGAGAGAAGCCAAGACTCAAACACACAAGACTGACTCTACGACTCTTGCTCAAGAAAAACATAAAGACTCGATGACTAAGACTGACTTTGTGATTATGATGCTCAAATACAGAAAGACAACATGACTAACACTAACTTTTCACTCAGTCTTTCGGAGGGAGACATGAAGACTATAGCAATAACACTGACAGTACCACGCCGGTTTTACGAGACATGAAGACTCCAGAACTCAGACTAAATAAACGACATTCTATTTAGGAGATTTCCAATTTCCACCAATTTCATTGACTTCATCACCGTGAATTTGAAAAACGAGTACACCTAAGGGATCTTATTATGTTCATATCTCTGTCTTTCAAAACCAAAAGATTCAGCATTTTGACTCACATCATGTCTAACTCCTTGACAGATTTCAAAATTTCAGGACTACACCGGACAATATCACTACACTGTAAATTTTTTTTAAATTTTACTTTTTGGAAAATCGATCTTAAATAAGCTGAAGTATTTTTAAGGTTTTATGATTCATTCGACCAATTTTCAGTATCTCGAAAATGCTTGATTTTCTAATTTACAGAGATTCAATTTGATTTTCGAAAAAAATGATTTTCAAAGGAATTAGAAAATCAATATAAATACTCGAAAAAGTCAAAAATGAAAGCAACTTTCTAGAAAATCATTTGCACAATGACCGCTCTGGAGTCATTGTTCATTCATGTATATAAGTCAGCCGACAGTGTTGTGCATTCATTATTTTCTTCGGCAGCTGTAGTGAGTTGATAAATTATATCTTTGCAGTTGCCGCGTGAGTCAGCCCATTTCGTATGTATTTAAATTAAAATTATATGTTTTTTTTATTCAGTGCATTTATATGAAATGAATGTTTATGAATCTATTTAAATTAAAACTCAAATTAATTATTTAGTGTATTCAACGTTTATCAATTTATTTAAATTAAAATGAAAATTATTTATTTATTTCATTGATGCATTTAATAAATTTACTGGTTATGAA